TCTTGTTTTGTCAGCAAAGCATATACTCTCTGTCATGAAATTGCAGTTCCTTAAAAAAAATACAGTTTGTCTTTGGTGCTTTTGTGAAATTCAGGGGATGCTGATTGCATCAGAGAGCAAGTCTCATTTTGCAAGCATTAACAGCACATGAGATACTTCATTGCTCTATGACTATGATCTTGGTTGAAAAGCTAATTATTAATTTGAAAATTTAATCAAAATCAGTTAGCTATTTCTCTGTGACTGTAGGAACACAAAAACCTTAAAACACAAAGACCAAAAATAATTCTTTGTATGTGAGAAATATGTGGGCTGGGTCACCATTGAAATTGTTGAAAGCGGTTGTTATTGTTTAAGGTGTGTATTGTTGGGCAATTCAACTATTATTGTCCTGTCAAATGCAGCAGATTCTGATTGCCACTTTAAGGCATGTTCTCTCCACAATCGAGTATGGCTTGTAGATTATTTGCACATTTTTTGTTTCTTTTGCAGTAGATAAGCAACTGCACACACCTGTGATGCACACTGAACCATATTCAATTGGGGTAGAAGAACCAGTAGAGCTTGTATTATTCGTTGCCTCTCCTGTTGTATATTTTGCATCCTTATTAGGCACAAAACATGACAAACAAAATAGTGAGCTTATGTTGCTCTATTTTCCACCTTTTTGATGTGCTGTTGATGTGCTATTGTGCTGTCCTCAGGCCCTCCGCTCTCCAGTCATTCATCCTCTATCCTCATTGAGTCAGAGAGCTATTTTGGTCAAATTTTGATGGAAAATATTGTCCTGTAGATTATCAAGGATGTTTGAGGACAGCTGACGTGACAGTGTTGACGTGATGTTTCCTCAGGTCTTTGGGTCACATCACATTTTTAATCTGGTTTCAGCTTGTTTTCTCGACTCCTGGACAGTTTTCATGTTACTCTATAATGTGGAGATAAGTGGTCAATGGTGTGTTACGACTAGAGGATAAAGGTTGTTGTACTTTTGTTTTACCCGGACAAGACTCAGAGATGTGTTTACCCAGCCACACACACTGAGTCTTATCACTCTTCTTGACATGCTTACCTGGAACATTGAAATGTGGGGAATATAGTGAGGGCTAAGAGCACAGACCTGTCACCCAATGGAAAATCTGCAGCACAAAAGTATATAAACATAGGCTACAATGTACTGTGGTAATATGAAGGAATTTTCTGGATTGATTATTTCACAGGTGTTTTACCCATATTTTGAATTACACATTGTGTTGTGTTTCGGGGTTGAAGGAGAAGTCTGAAAGATTTCCGGGCTGAAAATGTCCAGTACCGCTTTTGTTTTTCTTTATTTTTTTCATGCCTTGTAGGGTGTTGTGGATAGAGAGATATGTTGAATTTTTTTTTTTTAGTTTGATTATGAATTATTTATCTCCAGTTGACCTTTAAATATATATGATGACAGATCAAAAGTCAAAAGTAGAAATGCCTCTTAACCCTGACCCTATGCATAAAATGCCTTTTGTAAAATTAGAATTATCAAAACAAAGCAGTCAGCCATTTTCTTCATCATTGTCATTTCCACCATAGAATGCTATCAAATCCCATTTATGGAAATTACATCTGTTAGCTTTAAAAAATCACCCATATGGCTTGATGTTTATAGATATTAGCGTTTTACTTGTAAGGACTGATCAACATTTGTAATTTTGTCTTTCTAGATTCCCAGCTCTCATCAATAATCAAGTCTTCACAGTGTTTGTGGAGTGCCCCCAAGCCTCTCACCCAAAACCATGTCAACCATTTCATGCCCTCATGCTCTCAGCCACCACATGTCTCACTCGGCTGCGAATTATTCACTCCATGTAACGGCGCAGGTGATGAGGATCGCAGTAGCCTGGCCTCTCAGGACTCGGGTATCCCTACCCTTGAGATCAACCCACCTGAGCACATTCATGCTCGGGCCAACACAGCTGAGCTGGTGGTTCCAAAGCCACTTGATGATAATCCAGCAACACTTAACTTGGATATTTCAGATGGCTCCTTACTCAAGTCTTCCACCTTCCCTCGTTGTGACTTTGATTTAGTACGTCTCTACAGTGCAAGTGGGCTTTCCAGTGCAGCAGGCAAGGGAACATTGAACCGCAGTGATGATATTTCAGTGTGCAGTGTGTCCAGTTTAAGTACTGAGTTTTCTGCCACATTGTCAGTCAGTAATGAGGACTTCCTAGACTTCATGGTTACATCCGAGTCCAGCGCCGTTGTTACATTTGAGAATGATGATGTGTTGCACCGTTCTGATAATTCCCTCTCACCCCCTACTAACCTACACGGCAAGCTGAGCAGCCCACAACGGCAGGGAGTGGGTGTCTCTACGCCTCACGAGGCTAGGCCCAAGAAACTGGGACCACTCGCCAACTTCTTCCACAGGTATTGTTGCGTTTGCACTTGTAATGTTGTTAAATTCGCACTAAGAAACCAGATTGGTTCAGTAATATCATATAAAGCCTGTGCAAGTTTATCCAAATGTTGCCTTTCAAATAATGTTGCATTAATATTATTCAACAAGCTTACATCTTTTTCCCTAATTTACAATTTTTGATTGCATTTTATCTTTCATGTATGCGCATCTTTCTTAGGTACATTTGAAAAGTTTCCGCTTTTCTTTCGAGATTCAGCCTTTTGTAACACCTACAGGCAGCACAAGTTGAAAATCTGCAATTGCTGCAAGTGGTGTTTCCTTAAGACTGGAATACACAACTTTTCAAACCTGAACAGATTTTAAAACACTAGGCATCATACACTTGCTGATTTTGTAAATGTTTACAGAGGGAAAAGCCTTTAGTGGAACTGCCAACAAAAACATTGTACTTGTGTACATGGCAAATTCTTGCCCCTTTCTATCTGAACTTCCAAATATAGAGTATGCTTGTGTTTCTCCTTCACAGTTATTTCATTTTTTCATCACTATTTTCTAATTTATTGTCCTCTCAAAAATAATAATATCTTGCTGCCTCAACCCAGTGCTTGTTTGACTATAAAAAACTTCAGATCTTGGCTCCACAATATTCCATATCCCCATCTTCCACTAAATCCCCCATTGCAATCCCGGACATCGACAGCTGGACATGTCCAGGAAAAAGAGGACGGTAACCCCTAAAGTTACTTCTCTGCTTTCTCCACAGAACAAGAGCCTGCTAGCTTAGCTTCCAAAAAAGATGGCTGACACTATGTGTGATCCCAATTTCAATTCCCCACAGTGGGGCAATGAGGTAGAGACACCAAAATTGGTGTATTTAATGTTGGGACTGTCCTCATCAGAATGTCTAACCAAAACAACTTTCCTGCAAACGGTTCTTTGGGCTGCCATAGATGCCATGTCGGAAGAAGTAGAAGAAGAAACGGAAGAATAATAATAAAAACCAAACAGATACAATAGGTGCCTCCGCACCTCCGGTGCTTGGCCCCTAACAAGATGCAACTGTTAAATGACTACCGTGTCAGGGGACGGGAAAAGCGGTCTATTGACCAATTAGAATCAAGGACTGGAACTAACTATTTTATAATTAAATTAATGTGGAGTTTATGGCATACATATTGCTTAAATATAGAGCCAGTTCATTTTCAGTAGTGCTCAGTTCTGTTACTTCTTTTCTATATTTGTAAGGAGTCTTTTTGCTAAGAGGATGAAGGACACGGGTGCACTGGAAGGACAGCAAGAGCCTGGGTGGAAGCTGTTTGGTAAAGTTCCACATAAAGAATTTTCAACCAAAGACTCAAGGAAAATACCAAAGGTACGTTACCTTTACACACCTGCTCATTTTTATAAGACTTTAAAGCTGCAGTCCGTAGATTTTTAAAAATATCCAAAATACATATTTGAGAAAATACATAACCAGCCAGTGTTCAATACTATCTGCTTGCCTTAGCTCAATTCAGAGCAGTAAGCTTGTAATACTGTTTTTAATACTGGTGGATTTCCGCGGGAGATTCGAGCATGTCACATCTGTACACATAAAGAAGAGTTTCGGCTAGTATGCGCTATATTGCCTGTGAGGATGTTGGAGGTGGAGAATTATTGCCTTTTTTTCACAGCACACAGCATAATAAAACGTATTAATTTGATGGCGGATCCAGAAAGGTTCAAACGACAATCACCAGTGACAACAAAGTCACCCGCTGTAAAATGCAGAGGACTTCGTTCGGACTTCGGGGTGGCTACAGAATTAAAGAGACTGAAACCGACCCATGCGAAAACAAGGATACATATCGGAAGGACATTACATGTAGTCACGCAGTGCTAACGATGTTAACATTAACAATTGAGAACAACGTTTCATTTGCATGGTTTTGCGTTATATGATAACTTATAAGTGATTGTTAGATTTAATCAGCGCGATTTACTGCAATGTCAGAACCAGAACAAAAGTGGATGTTTCTTACTTGTTCAGATGACATTTTCTGGTAAAAATTATTATGTTGGTCATATTTCCGAAAAGTATAATGTGTGATTCTGAATGCCAGTATCGACAGCGGCGCGGTGACTGACAGCTGCACACATTGTGTTCATCCGTGCTGCGCTAAGTTGATAATTCCACAAATTACTACAATTGCAAATTTCAAACAGAGATGGCGACAAAGAGGTAAAACTGCGGACTGCAGCTTTAAAAGACAAAACACTTGCTTTTTGAGTGGTTTTGTATGTAGTAAGGTTGACCTGAATTTATGAAAAAATTGTTTGAAAAACACTAAAAAGCACCCTTCACTGAGCATGGCTCTACTAATTTTGAATATTTAGTATTTCTTAGTATTAAGCAAGTCATTTGAGGTGCTGCTATTAAATTAATGGCTGGAATACTCTACACATCTTTTGCCCAGATTTTTGCATTGATTTGCAGTCTCAAGAAGTCAACATTAGTTGTTGAATGTCACATCCAATCTGCAGATTTTTTTAGTTTGAGTCTATGGTTACTTCCAGTTGGATGACATCACACATGTTTCATATTTATTTTAAGTAATTTTTAAAATGTATTCTTTTAATTTGTCATACATATCCTAGCAATGTTGATGTTAAAAATGTGCAGGCTAACACTTTCCTCCCATGACTGCTTCAAATATGTAATTAGATATTAACCAATAAATAGCACTTACAAGTGAAATATTAATAGGTGTCCCTTAAAGAAAATATTAACTGTCTGTCAAGCTATGCTTTACTTTATCTAGGAAAATAATCCTGTTTCTAATTGTGGATTTCTGTTTATAATGTATGAGAGAAATGTACTTACAATTTAACAAAGTATAACGTTTATTTAAGTTAAATCAAAGGGAGGTTTCTAAAATTTGTATTTATGCACATTTTTGAACTGAATGAAATAGGTTCAAGAAGTAGTGTTCATAAGTTTGTCATGTCTTAGTGTCCGTATTGTTCATGTTTTGGCTTAAAGTTTAAACAAACTTTCAAAATGAATGAAACTGGTTTCCCAGAGGCTTCCCCGATCAGATGTAGTCCCGCCCAAAACTCACGCCATTGGTTGAGCTGTTTTGGGGGTATTAACATGTGAATTAAAGTCACCATAAAAATTCAGTCTCCTTCAAAATTGACAATTCTTAGTTTTTGTATACTTTTGTATAGTTTGAGAATACTGTAGTGTTTACTATAAATTATTTATCAGTGCATTTTGTTTAAATTCATGTGGCATCGTAGTCTTCAGCCAAAAACTTGACCTTCCTTTCCCCCTCAGAGCAAAGTCTCTTCTCTAATGATGTGTGCATCGCTGTAAGGGCAGGGCAGGACAACAATTCGTTTAGATTTTTCTTTTTTTAATTGTTGCACATGAATCAATCAAATGGCTTTGCATTGCAGTCTTGTTATGGCATTGTTGTGAATAGGGCTTTGTTTCCTGTACAGAGAAACAACAGGCCTGCAATGTGCTATAGGTAATTTGAACCCCAGTGATTCAGCCTCCCTGTGTCCATCTAGATTTCACCCACCTCCAACTCCTGCCTTTATCTCTCGTTTTTGTTCTCTACTGCTGTAATGGAAGATTGAGGTATTGGGTGACTGGTTTAGAGTTGCTGTTTTATTTAGGCTCTCTTGCAGTGGCTCCTTGAAAGAGATGAGTTAAGATGAACTTAATATGCTTTAGTCCTGACTTTAAACTGCAGTATTCTATCCGCTACCATTACTTGTTTTATTTGTTAAGTCTTAACAGACTAAAATTTGTGGGATTGCCTGACCATGTGTTTTTTATATCTTATTATAAACTCAGGAGAATTGATGACACACAGTAAAACAGATTAAATGCATCATCCTTGTACATGACTCAGGCATGCACAGCAGAACACAGAGCGCACTGATCTTATGAAACTGCAGTGCAGAGAGCTCTATGCTCCTAATAGCTGGGATCAATTAGTATGGCTGCCTGTAAATCATGGATCTTCTCTCAGCACTGTGATGACGAGTAACATTAGCATGCACACACGCATATGGACACAACAGGAGCAAGGGACAAGATCAGATCCTCTGCATCCCTCTGATGTAGGCCCTCCCTGTTTGGTGCTTTGTTTGGATGGAGTTATAGAGCGAAAGAGGGCAAAGAAAAACAGTGTCAAGTAACTTAGCTGGAGTGAGACAGCAATAATAGCAGAGGAGCAGGAGCACATAAGTATCATGCTACTGTTTCTCAGGGTGTGTCCCATATTCCTTGCGGTCTTCCTCTGCTACTGTGCCTTGCCTTTCTGTCTACAAGGCACTTAAGCTTATAGTTTGGAAAATACTGCAATGGTAGTGTAGTGTCTGAAACGCTGGATTCTGAATGTCTCAACAGCACTGCAGCGTTCATGGTGAGTTCATGCCTTATTGATTGTTTTCTTTACCCCTCGTTGTTTTCCGTCAGGTAAATAAGAAAAGATGAGGGGAACGAGAAGAAAGAGAAAAACAATCATTTGTGGGGAGGAAATGACGTGGAACGAGAGAGATTCTGTCGTAGTAGGTGTACCTGGTGTTCATGTGTGAACACATTTGTGTGTGTTGGTCGATTATATTTTGCTTGTTTTTTTGTTTTTGTTTTGTTGGCTGTCCCACATTTACTCTTAGAACTAATTAAGAGTTCTTCGTCTAATCTTACTTAATGTCCATTTCTTAAACTTTTTTGGCTCATAGAAGGAATGTAGGTCATTTTGTCTAGTTATCTCTGAGAAAGTGCAGTGTGGGGTCAAATGAAATATTTATATTCACTTAGTTCAGTGTGCAATAGTGTGTGCTTTCTGACTGCACAAATAAAACAACATAATACTCTTCCTCTTTCAACTTGTTTGGATATACAAATTCGACCGAATCTCATCCAAAACAGAGAATTTAAAGATGGATGCAATGCAAGATGTTCAGGCGGGTGAACAACAGTGTATGACATGGAACTTTGTAAAGGGAACTTGTACTGTAACAGTAGCAAGTTGTTCTGATTTCATCTGAGCCTGTCATGACATATTGTGTTCTGTTAAGACATTTATTATTTTCAGTTCCTGCTGGTTTGAGAACTTCTGCTTCCATTGTGTGTATAATATCTTAAAGGCACACTATGCAGCTCTGATGTTTTTGTGAAACAGTGACCCCAAGAGCCGCTTTGGTGTACTTGCACTGGCGTAAATAACCATAACTCCCCTGTTACTGCAGTCTACTGAACTACTGATGATGGTAATAATAGGTTAATAATAACTATGTCAAGTGTTTTATAAACTACTTTATAATAATAAAATTGCTGTTTACTGGCTGTGGCTTATTTAACGTTTTTACATGATTTCTGCTAAATCACATGTAAATAGCCTATATATAGTGTAGGACTACTTTATAATTAGGGCCCAAGCCCTGAAAGGGCGAAGGCCCTATTGTTTTCCTTAGGATTATTATTAGGGCCCAAGCCCTGAAAGGGCGAAGGCCCTATTGTTTTCCTTGCGATTATTTTTCTTCTCTATTATTATAATAATTATTATTTTACTACCTTTTGGGCACTTTTGGGGCCCTTAACGTGCTCGAAAACTCTTGAAACTTTGCACACGGGTCAGAACCCGCGGCCATCAGAGCCGGGCTGAAGATGGTACCCGGGCGTGGCAGGGCGGCTCGTCAGCGCCCCCTGGAACGGGGTCCGAACACTTGGTCCATAACTCAAACACGCTTGTATGTAATAATATGAAACTCGGTACACATGTTGATCTCATCGTTTCATCTATACCTCGCGCTCTTACTTTTTACCCCAGCTCAACAGGAAGTCGGCTATTGAGGTTTGTTTGTAAAACGCTCGCAATGGAATGTCAAATACTCCTCCTAGAGCTTTGATCCAAATTCGACTAAAACTCAGTCAGCGTGAAGTCAAGACATTGAGGATGAAAGTTTGCGAGGGGATTTTTGATATCTCGAACGGTTTGTCCGTGGCGAGGAAACGAAATCATGGCGAGAAACGTGAAACAGGAAGTGTGTTATAACTTCAGCATACATTAACTGATCTTGATGAAACTTCAGCAGTGTGTTCGCTGTAAGAGGACGATCACATGGATGTGACTATTGTGAGTCAAAGTTATAGCGCCACCAACTGGCAGCAGGAAGTGTGTCACTTTCAAAATGCTTTGATATCACCCTTTTATTTTTACCCGATTTGCTTCAAACTTCATCTGTATAATGTAAACATACGATAGATGTAGACCTGTGAATGGATTCTTGATATCTTTGAAACTGTTGCCGTGGCGACGCATCAAACTTTACCCTTCTTTTAGGATGTTTTTAGGATGCTTTTGAGACCCT